TTTGATTATCATTATTTTAATATATTATTATTATTATTAGTAGTAAAAGAAATAAAAAAGAGTATAGTTATAAAAATTATTTATATAATATGTTTTAAAATTAATTATATTATTAATCAATTTATATTTATTTTACAATAGATATAAAAAGAAGAAAAAGCGAAATAAAAAAATCTTATTTTTGCTTCCAATATTTTTTAGTATATTATTTTATTCAAAATTTATTTTGATAGATAATTATTCCAATTTTAGGGAATAAAAATAAGATAAAGAAAAAAAAGGAATAAACCAAGAAACAAAGGTAAAAACCAGGGTTGTACATTTGACCGGTCAAATACAATTCGGTCAATTGACCGATATTTGACCGGTCAAATATGTCAAATATGGTCAAATTCAAATAAATGTTTTTTACACCAATATTAACTTTATTTTGCATTTATATAATATTATAATAAATCTATGTATAATAATAAATATCATAATATTTTTTAATTCATTCTATAGTCAATGTTTCACCCTCCGTGGCAGAGTCTTGTTCCGATTCATATTCAATATCATTATTTTCTTTAATATTTTTAATCAATCTTAAATTATGATACACTCTTACTAATTTTCCTGCTGTAGAAGCCTTTAATCTATTTCTGTTTTTCGTGTGAATATTGCCCCAAACCGACCAATTTCTTTCAGAAGAAGAAGTCGAACTAGGAAATGTTAGTAAAATATTAGCGACTTCTCTTAATGGGCAAGGTGGGCAAAATGCATTCCACCAACTTGAGGCCGAAATTTGATTGCTTCTTATGGAAGTTACAACTTTCCACATATTATGGCTATTAAATATACCGCTTTTGCTTCTGAAATTTACTATATTACTTAAAATATTTTGATTATCACCACCTTGTAAAATACCCAATTCTTGTATTATATTACATGCTTCATCAAATTCAGTATTAGTAAGATGCTCCCCTTGATATTGGGGGTCCAATAAATAAGCAGCATTGTGAGCACATGTATTTAGATCAGTTTTTCTCTTTTCAAACATAACCTTAATTTTTTTTTCTTGAGATGGAGAAAATATAGAATCATGGCATGATTGTATTATGTGTTTTTCCAAATTAAGCATCTCGTTTTTTACTTGGGCCAAAGTACATTTATCCCCTTGCACTTTCAACTATGAGGTGGCTAAAGGTTGGAGTATAGCTAAAAATTTTAAATTTTTCGTCCAAAATTCTTCGTTTAATATATTATTGGTAATTTCTATGGGCAAATATCACAAGCAGCTTCTTCAACAACTGATGCTTTTAGAGCTTTCTTGCATATTTGAATTTGCTCCATACATTTTATTGACGATGCCCATCTTGTTTGGCTAATTGTACTTAATGTAGATGGCATGAAGATTCTTATTACGGGAAAATACTGCAGCTGGTATGTGTTTATTCTTGAAAAATTTAACAATTTTTTTAATTATTGAAATATGGTCACTGAAGGCGTTCAATCGTTCAAAATCGTGAAAGAATAACTGCAATGTATGCGCTGCACAACCATAACATTGTATATGATTATAAATAGATTCAGATTTTAGAATTCTCCAGGCTGCTTTCATGTTAGCGGCATTATCAGTAACTAAAGAATATACTTTTACCGGATTCAATTCATGAATTACATTTTTAAATTCCTGGGCAATATAATCTGCCGTATGGCGATTTTTCTCAGTATTTAGAAATTTGTAGAACACTGGAACAGGCGTCATCACCATAAAATTAATAATACTCTCGTTTCTAATGTTGCTCCAGCCATCTGATACAATTGATAAGTAAGGAGCTTTATCTATTATATCTGCAACTCTCACCTCCATATCACCTGACGTTTTGATAGGACGTATTTTTTTTAAAATTCTTGGATGTAGGGATTTTCAGTGATGTGGAAAGGTAAATTGCTCGCATATACAGCCTTTGCAAACAATTGATCCAGCTCATTTTTTTCTTTGGGATTAATTCTATCTATGAAACCGGTTATACAAGATTGAGATTTATATTTAATCGCCTTGCTTGTAGATTGATTAGAAATAATGGAATCAAATTCTTCTGAGTCACAAGACAAAATATTGTTCATTTGATAATCATTCTCACTAATTTCACCCAATTCTTCATTAGAGTTAGACTTAGAAGTATTACAAATTACATTTGTGATATTTTTTGTAGAGGTTGATATTTTGCAATTTGAATAAAATTTTTCCTTAATTATAACAGGGCACATAGTACAGCTGCTTAATAAATGTTTGACCATTCTATCAACGTGGGTGATATAGGACATCTTGCAAAACTTGCACACCGCTTTAACTTATTTACCATCGCGTACTTCTTGAAAATGTTTCCAAACATGATGCTTTGGTTTGACCATAATCCCTAATATATTAAAATTTAACAAAAAATGATTTTGATTATTGTAAAGTTAATCAATCTTAACTATTTTATAATTATCGACCAATTATTCCAATAATTTCTTAATATTATAAATATAATATAATATATATAACTTTTTACCAGAATTGAATAATATTCCGTAAATCTGACCAGAACAATTAAAATGAAAATTAATTTTAAAAACCAAATATAGCAAGTGTAAGTAAAACAAATGAGAATTAATATAATTTATACTCGGCTAAATATTAAATAAAATTTAAATTTATTAAAAAATAAGAATGAAAAAATTATATTATGATTATAATAAATCGGGTATTTTTATTTTTTTTAAGAAAAATGAATTGAAAAAAATAAAGAAGGCGAGAAACGGCAATGATTAGGCAAAAAAATAACTAAAAATATTACTATATTTAGAAAAATTACATATTTATATTTTAACAATAAAAAAATTCTTACAATTCATGATACAAATAATTTTTTAAATAATTGTAACCTAAGATTGATAAACATGCTTTTAATGCATACTAGTTAATTATATCAAAATATTTATTCGCCATTAATATTTTAGAGTATTTGACCGGTCAATTGACCGACATGCCAACCCTGGTAAAAACTATAATTACATTGATAAGTGTTAATCTCCTAAATTATTGTACAACGTTAAAAATTTGAAGTTATTATATATGGATATCATATATGCTAAAATCGGTAAAATGCCGAATATCTATATTTTAATTAATTTTAAACCAAGAACGTAGAAAAAATTTACATATCCTGACCTGCTTTTTTTTAAAAAGAAATCTAGGCGGACCAGAAAATATAAAATCCGGGTGAAAAAGTTTTTTTCTCAAATATGGCTGGTGCAAATGGTATCTCTCCAGTAGACCTGCAAATGGGCTTATTTTTTAAAAAAATCCGGGCCGAGTCGCGTCCTGGAAATTTTTTTTAATATATCGAAATTTATCAAATTTTATGTTAAAATTTTAATTTAAAATAAAAATATTTGATTTTATTTAAACTAGACGACATATAAAATATATCTTTTATTTTGAGTAATAAAAAAAATTAATTTCTATATTCAAATTCGGGCTGAGCTGGCAAAACATTTTTAAAAAAATATTTCGGGTTCGGGCCGGGCTTGAAAAATATAACAGATCACTACTCTCAAGTCTGATATTTTACGAAAATATTGTATTTTAAAATTTCGATCTTTATAATTATTTTAATATCTTTATTTATTACTAACAAAAACTAACACAAATACAAAATTTATTACAAAAAAACGGATATAAAAAAACTTAATTTCAGATAAAATTATTATTTATTCTCAAAACCTAAGTATAATGTTTTCTTCATTTAACGAATATCTTTTACCAGCAACCAAATTATTTGCCATCAAAATTATCTTACTGAGCCTGTACTAGTAGTTCCCGTCGTTAGTGCGTCACCAGCCTAAATCAATGTTCACATAGGTTCATTCAAATATAATTTAAACTCATTTTAGTTGATACCCTTTTTTATAGTTTACAACGCTTTGAACGATATATAAAAGAAAATACGATATGTGAATGAGTTCAATTTTCAATTCAAATTTGAACCGGTAAATTTTGTTGGTTGATAAAAAGTAGATGGATAAATATTTTAAAAAAATATTAGTTCTAATTTAAAACATTTCAAATACTCTGAATATATCGAATAGTCAATTATTCATATTCTTTGAATATATCATTATTAATATTTGACAAAACAAATCGAATAATTTAATATTCGCTTTGAGCTCTATTCGTATGGTATAGCATAATATAAACTCCTCTAGAACCTTTAGAAGATTTTTTTGGGGAAAGTTTTGTGCAGAATTCTTTAAAGATCATAAAATTGTTTTTAAAGAATAAAAATTAAATAAATTCACATGAAATTTTTTATGCATAAATTATTATAAGAGAATCAGTGGCGTAGCTAGGAATTTTCCTTAGAGGGGGTCCATACATCCCCCCAGACCCCCTTTAACGGGCCTTCGGCCGGGTTTATTTTACAAATCATAACCATATCTTCGATAATATATAATAAATATATTTTTTAAATGCATCAATAATATGTTATTATATTTATTAGATTATTCTCAATGACTTTATAATAATACTATCCAGAATAATTTCAATAGTAATATAATATCCTTCCACAAACATCAAAACCAGAAAAATATAATTCATATAAAATCACTTTTAAGTCTTTTGAACGTATAATCTAAAAAAAATTTTTGCTCTGGGAGGAGTCTAAACCCGAAAACCACCCCCGTAGCTACGCCACTGAAGAGAATTACATTTACCTAAAATTTAATCAAAAAACTTGTATGAGCATTCTCAAAAAAATCTTCCATTTTGAAGAGCATTTCTAACTCTTATTTATTACAAATATATACATAACTCCATCTTAATAAAATTTAATTTTATTGAAGTTTATTATAAATTTATAAAATAAATATAATAAATAAGAATATGAAGTATAAATTTTTTTTTATCGTAATTCGTATAAACATGTTAGTATATTTCCATTTAAATATTTAACTAAAAGTATTTTATGATAATTGTTGGAAAAGAATTGTGTAAGATGATTATATTAAATGAATTTAAAGCGTGTTATATATCATATCTTTAATTAATAATAAATAACATTTTGTGCTTTTAAAAGCAGGGTAGAAACGAATAGAACATAATATAAGTTAATAAACGTTTTGTGTAATTAAATAAAAAAAACCGGGATATTTTTAAGATTATTTTTAAAAAATTTTGATAGCTAACGAAAAATTGTAGATTCGATGCATGTAAGAACATATGTAACCAAAAATTTTAGAGTAATTGTTTTAGACTTAATCTCAAACGAGTGACAAATTAAACTATATCATTTAAATAAATTTTTTTTGATATTACGATGGTTAACAAAAAAGAAATTATCTGTCAGAAAATCCGTAATTTATGGCGGCTGCTGGCGATGTGGTAATTTTTTCTTTTGATAATTTGTGCAACTTTTTAATTTGAATATTTGGATTGGAAACAGCTTCATTAAAGGCAGAAGTTTGGGGATTTGTAGCGAGAGAAGATTGATCGAAAAGAATATTCGAGAAACTTGATGGCGTTAAAGGCGTGGTAAGTTTCTTGCTTTCCTTCCCTTTTTTGGGTTCAGACATGCGTCCGCTATTAAAAGAACATATTAAATAAATCCCATATTTTTTATAACGCAATATCTATAACAACTTAAACTAACCCATCTGTTCATATAATACTAATTTATTATACTAGATCAAATCAATATAACTCTTTATTGATTTAGAAATGTATAAATAAGAAATCGAGCAAAAAATTTGACTTAAAGAAACCTTGATTCCGTTTTAATGGGCTCCATTTTCTTATTACAAGTCGTGAAAGTATTTTCAGTTTGAGAGGTTATGTGCGAGTTATCGGTAGATACCAAACTGTTACTTCTACAATGTTGCTTTTTGGAGTAATTTTTAAGCAACCCTATGTCTCCTCTAAAATGAAAAAATGTGTCGGGATGAGCAGGGGTTTCAGTATTATTGATCGATGCGTACCTTGTTAAATTTGAGATAAAAATTTAAGGAGAGAAAAATAAAAGTGATATGAATGAAAATGTAAATTATAATTTGTAAAAATGATTAAGTAAAAGTGGGCATCTATTATACGGAACTATGCTACTAATACTTTTAAAATGGTTATAGTTCTTACAAATTGAAGCGTTTTAGTTGTTTTATTTCAAATAATGTTAAATAGTAACATTTCAAATTAAACTAAGCTTTAAAAAGAAAGCAAAATTGTTAGTTTTTTTTAACATATTCAAAAAAATATCAATTCAAATTTAAACAACGAAGTGCTAAACACTTCTGCTCAATTTGTAGGCACTATTATTTTTGATGAATATATTTATCGCATATTGTTTGAAATATATAGTATATAAAGATATGATCAATAACAATATTTCTTTTTTTATTGTACCAATCTTTTTTTTTAAGTGAAGAACACCATACTAGTTTTTCGACATCGGATGTCCCGTATGCAATATATGTAAAACTCTTTTTGAAGTGAGTGCGGAATGATTAATCTGTCATTCCAAAATAAAATACCGTCATCATTTTCTATTTCATCTATTCTTGTTCTAAAAGCTTGTAATTCTGGTGCTTGATTTTGTATATTTAAACCATCTATTAATATTTATACATTTCTTAAATTGGATCTTTTGCGGTTTCCTCTCTAAGTTCTTTTCTTGATATGGTCAATGTGTCATAAGTAAGATTTCTTACATATTTCACTGTTTTATTTTCGCTTGTTATTCTATCATCATTTTTCTCTATTGAGTTTCGCGATAAAGCATCTGCAATTATATTATTAGCGCCATTCTTGTACATTATATCATAATCATATGCAGATAATTTATAAGCCCAACGTAATAATCTTTGGTTCTTTAATGAGCTTAAATCTCTTCAATTACCATATATCTTTATTAAAGGTTTGTGGTCTGTTCGTATTTTAAATTTTCGTCCATACAAATAGTTATGAAATTTTTCTACGCCGTTGCTTTTGCTTCTTTGTCTATTGTAGAATAATTCTTTTCAGCGTCTTGTAAAGTTCTGAGGTGTAAGCTATTGGAAATTTGTTACCATTATCATATTTTTGCAACAGTTCCAAATCCTTGGTTAGATGCATCTGTTTCTAATATTAACTCGAGGTCCGGTTTATAAATATTATAGTATTTTGTTCTGTTACTATTCCGAATAGCATGATAACGATTACAAAAATAGCAAGGTATTTTATTTTGGAATGACAGATTAATCATTCCGTAATCACTTCAAAAAAGAGTTTTACATATATTGCATACCGAACATCCGGATTTCACTTGAGGAAGAGGTATACTTCAAATGAATATCATACTTTGGTGGAAACGCAAGAAAATGATTTGCCAAAGCTATCAAGATTAGCAAGAAAAATATTGGCAAATCCTGCAACTAGTGCTTCTTCTGAACGATGATTTAGCATTGATAGAAGGTTTTTATAACAAAGATGAACGTGTTTGAATCCAGAAAATGTCGATTCATATTACATATAATATCAATTTTAATTTATATTTTTTTTTCAAAAATATTCTATTTGATCAAATAAATTGTCCATAATTTAAATTGATTATTTTTTTATTGAATTAACTTCCTAAATTTTAAACTTTTTGTAGAGTGTAATGCTGAAATATTTTTATTAGATGCTTATAAAATTGAAAGAATGGCCATAATTAAATTTTATAAACGGGCTTGGGTTAAAATTTCTTATAAATAATGGGCGGGCGGGAAAAAAAATTTAGACTAATAGGTGGATGGGCGAGCGGGTAAGGAATTTTATACAAATGGGCGGGTATATATTTTTTTGAAATATGGGCGGGCTGGGCAGGCGGGTTAAATTTTTTTTAAAACATTGGGTGGGCGCAAAGTCCTCTAACTAATACCACTTTTTGAAGGCCGATCCGATCGATATTCCCGATATTAAATTGATATCGACCGATTACCGATCCGATATCATATCTAATTTGTATTATGTAAAGATACCATGGTTTTAATTTTTAATATACTTTTTATTAGTATAACATCTATAATTTAACTATTATACCATAACTTATGTCATTTAACTATATTATAATGATCAGTTATTGTTTATATTCAATTCAATTGCAATTCTAAAACTATATAAAATATTTTTATTATCTTTTATATAATAAGTAAACATTAATCTATATACATAAGTAATAAACAAAATATTATGAAATTTGCAATAAATATTTAAAATAATATTTAACATTAATATATCGAAGATTTCTTTTTAAAATACCAAAATTTCCAATTTATCAGAGGTCAGCCTGCGTTAATATCAACAGCTTCACTAAAAACCAGTGTTGTTAAAATAGCGCGCTACTTCTTTTAGAAAATAGCGATAGCGGTAGCTCGCAACTAATTTAGAAAGTAGCGACTTTCAATTTTACATAATAAATACATCTAAAAATTATTAAAATATATTTTTTATTAAATCTAAAATTATAATCTTTTATTTTATTTAATTTTGAAATTTAAATTTATATTTAAAAATATACATTATAAATCTAGTTAGCATTATAAATCTAGTTATTAAAAATGTGTGAGATTGTTGAAGATAGCGAAATTTCTTTGGAAAATGAGAAAAATATAGATTATCCTTTCCCATAATTCAAAAAATACTTTAATCTTGAAGAAAAAATTACTACTGGATATCGGTTTCGATGCAAGAAAATTTTGCCAACCACTAGTAGAGACTATGCTAAAAGGCATTAAGAAAAGGTCAAAACCTTATTTTTATTTTCTATTATACAATTATATAAAATGAATGATTTATTGCTTGATTAGCTATAATTTAAACTCGCTTAATTTACAACACAATCTATAATATTAATATATAGTATTAATATAAAATTCAAAATTAATATATTATTAATTACCTTGTATATAATAATTATATTTTTAAAATCTTTATTTACCATAATTCAATGCTACTTTAATATTTTTTTATAAATGAATCTAAATCTCAGATAAATTTAAATTTTGAAAATTAAAAAGGTATTCTTCTTATTTTATAATTACAATCGCTTTATATAAATTAGATTTCCAGATCTGTATGATATGATAATGTAATAGCTGCTATCGTTCATCCTAGTTTCAAGTTAAATTGGCCATACATTAATTTGACTGAATCTAAAGGGCAACTTGATAGGCTGATGGTAACGTTAAAAAATGCCATGCCTAACCACGATAATACTATAGCAAGATCGAAACCGCGGCCTTCCATAGACGATTTTTTTGAAATAAATAATAATAATAATAAATTGAACCTTTCTAGATGCTTTTTTTAAATCTAAAAATACTCATTTAAATATTTTTGATGATTGTTTTCATATAAAAAGTGTGTTTATTAAATTTAATAAAGGGCAACGCAATAGCTAGTGCTGAACGATTATTTAGTATGGCAATTTCTGATCGTCGCTCTAGACTTGGGGATGACAGTACCAAAATTTTATTATTATTAAAGTGCAATATTAAAAAATTATATATATATATGTAACAAATTATAGTCATGTTTTTATACCAATATTTTATTTGTGGAAATAAAGTTATGTAAAAAATATTTAAAAAAAAAATCAAAATAGCGTAAAAAGTAGCTATAGCTACTTTTTTAAAACTAATTCTGAAGAGATTATCGCACACTTTTATAAACAGAATACGCAAAAAATAACAATATGGCAGAATGTTAATTAATTATTTATTATTATTAAAAAATTATACATAATTTCGATTTTATTTATAAAAATAAATGATTTTAGATATAACTTTTTTTAAAAATTTTATAACAATTTATTTTTGTTAGACGCCATTTTATATCGGATCGAATCGGGAAATTTTAAATATTGGCCGATGACCGATATTTTAAAATGGATAAAATGGCCCGATCCAATCCAATAAAAAATATCGGTATATCCCTATATAGAAACAAAGTGTTGTGGTTTTTATTAGTAATTGTTTACCGTATTGACTAATATATTACTCTAGTTAATTTTTTTGGGGCATGTTGCTAATTTCTTGAAGACACCCGCATATTATGTATTCGATAATACAATATGAAACTTTCCTAAAAAAAGAGAGAGGGTAAATAAGGAATTTACTGTTCAAGTGAAAAGCTTTTAAAAAAGTATACTTTAAAGTGTTGTTCGATACATGGGCAGTTCCAACTTTTTTAACTTTGTTCCATTTGTCATTGCAGGGCAAAAATTTGTAATCATCGCCATAGTCGTCCCCTTCATAAACTTCTTCTTCTAAGTATTCTGCATCGTATCTGAGCTCGTCCATCGTTTTCTCGCCTTCTGTAGTTTTTTCTTCTCGAAGTTTAGAGTTAGCATTATTATCGTGAGAAGATATACTATTCACATATTTGGACGTTGGTTTGTTGAAAGAAGTTGTCGAAGGAGCCAACTTTAAGAGTCTATAAGAATCGGATTTGGATTTAACGTTGGGATGGGATGGAGCATTATTAGGATCTTTATTTAGTTGTTCGCTTTCTGGTTCTTCCTCGGTTAGCTTACCGTACTTGCATTTGATGGTGGATACATTGTCATGGTGTGGATCTAAATCATCATTGGAAATCGTGATACTATTGCTGTCACTCTTAGGTAGAGTAACAAGACTATTTTTCTTTTTGGCATGATGAAGAATCATTTTGTTGGCGATGGGAATGTGGCTAAGAAACGAATGAGAACTGCTTAAATGTTTGACCGCCTTATTTGCGTGAGCTTTCCTGGAAACATTTTCGTCATTGATATCGGGATACTTATCGTAACCCAACGTGGAATATTTAGCATTAATATTAACGTAGTCCATCGTTCGTTCATTTTTTATTACGCTTTTAGCTACAAAGTCATCTTTAGGTGGTATTTTAGATTGATCGTCATCGCTAAGCATATCGTAACTATCGAGATTGTTAGCGATTGATTCATGGAACAAAGGCGATTTAGATAATCTTCGAAGGTGTTGAGGTTCTATGAGGGGATTAGGTAAGGCATGGCTAGTGTGTGAATTTTGTTGTTGAGTTTGTAATGATTGATCTGACGGGAAAATTTTGAAGGGAATGTTATCAAAAGGGTTTTCATTGGTCTGAGATTCGATGAACATATTTTAATAATTAATATGTATAATTAAATATTATATGATATTAAATCAAAATTTTCTGTTCTTCTAATAAAATCAAACAACTAAATTATTAACATATGGCCATGTGTAGATTTTTCAATTGGGACAAATTTAATAACTAACTGAAATTGCTGATATCTATAGGTAGTGTACACACATTTCTATTAAAATATATCAATTATGGTTAAATTGCTTTTTGACTAATGGGTTATGGGTTAATAGTTTTATAAATTATGCTAACCTTCTCAAGCATAAGATTTAAAAGAAATTGTAAAATAATTTTGTCTGGACAACTGGGACTTATTTTATCTATTGTATATTACTTACCTCATTTTAAAGGATACTAAACATAATATAAAAAAAATTCTGAAAATTCACATATTGTGCTCTGACTCTATTATGCCTCTTAGACTTGTGTGGTTGTAGCAGAGTGTGTGGAGGAGGTAGAGGAGGCTGGTAAGAAGGCGGTGGTCCATCTGGTTCTGATCCTGATAATCTATAATTTGAGTGATCTGAATGATCATATAGTAAGGACGAGGAGTGATTAGAAGAATAACTCGATGACGAGGTGTCATCATCGGATATTATTAGGCTTTCCCGGCTTTTGACGTTCGATATGCCTTCATAAATACAATTTGGATAATGGAAATATATATTATTAATAAATTCCAATTGACATGTTCATTGCCACATATTTCCAATTAAAAAATGTAATAATCATAAATCATTGTTTAAGCTCTTTTTGAATAGAAAATACATTATAAAATAATTAGCGCTGCACCATCAGAATTGGGTTCGTGTGATAATTTCAAAGAAAATATCGGATAGAAAAATATTTCAAAAAACCGATTAGATCGCGAATTAATAAATTTTTAACACCTTTTTATCAAGAATGTGAACCCTTAGGCAAAAAAGACAAGGGCCGGGTTCAGATATAAATTTAAAAAGAGTTCGGGTTCAGGGTTTGAACGTGGAGTGCAAAGGAAATATTGACAATATTAATAAAATAATGCAATTGTTTTCCAATTTTTATTCTAATTCATATAAACATAATTTTCTAGAAAATCAAACAATCATAACACCCTCCAAAATTTCCTCCTTACGATTTCCGCGCATATACAATATGTACTTCATAAAAGTTAAGGCACGTTCTAATTAAATTTTATTTTAATTTCTTGATTTTTTGTTCCAATAATTTACTTTCTAAAATCGATATAAAAACAAGATAAGCAGAGTATTCAAATTATAATAAAATTTTACCTATAAAATGGAGACAAAAAACTTAAAACTATTATAAAATAAGTAAGATAAGGTATAAATTAGATAAGTTTATAAATGATTACAAATATAAGAATAAGATGGGAGAAAAAAGTGACCTGGTGCAGCCCTAAAATTTATGTTTTAAGCGAATTCTATTATATCTCATTGTCATCACAAGAATATTAAATTATTAAAAACGTACTAGTTAATGAGCCTTTAAATTTATTATGTGTATACGAGAGTGGGTTTTCCATTTCAAAGGGGTTCCAAGCCATAGTGGAGCTTACCGCGAAAGCATCTTCAAATATGTTTTCACCTTGTATGCCAAAATATAATTTTTAAAAAAATTATGACAAATAAATTGCAAAACTTTGTTCATATAAAATAATTCGCAAAACTATATTGTCTGATTTGTAATTTATCTAAAAATATCTAGGCCATTAATGCGAATATATCAATACATCTTATAATTTAGACGTGTTCAGCCTAACGTTTCTTCAAGAGAGAAAATGTTTTTGGGGGCGTTCAAATTAAATTTAAACATTCTCAGCTCACAGTTTTGGATATAAAAAAAAAGAATTTATTTAAACCATCTGCAATTTCATTAGAACTCGAGTAATTAGGTTGATCGGTGAGGAAATAGGAATTGAAGGCATCAAAAGTGTCATTATAAGTTTCTTGTTCGGCTAATCCAGTTACCTTGAGCTTAACAAATGCGTCTAAATCTACATTATCAAGCTTGTGTCCAAATTTTTTGGGCCTTTGACGCGGTTTTATGGATGTTTCATAATTAAGATGATAGGTTGTAGGGGCTTGGCTTAATATCATAATATATGCAATGTGTTTATATGTAGTGTTATATAATATATAATTAATAAATCATTTTATGCATACGTTGATCGCTCTGATTATCGGTAATCCTATTATTCATAACTATTACACTAATAAAATTAACGAATTCAATTTATTATATAATCTACTATCCGATTTTTTAAAATATTTTCATCTTTTAATCCTGCCATCTCTAATTTATTATAAAATAAAATTTGATAATATATATTTTTACTCGTTATATTTGGAAGTGAGATTTCTTTGCTCCAAATTATTCCCTTTACTGCTGTTGGATTCTTGACATTCATTACGTGTTTTATTTTCATAAAGAAGATATTCTCGTGTTAGATCCTCCATAATAGTTTCTGCATCATGACAGTGATTTAAGTTATTTGTTAGAGAAGTTTCATCTATGATAATATCATTTGAAGATTTTAGCAAAAGATGTTTAACTAATTTTGTTAACAAAGTTATGTCAGGTCTATCATTGGGGTTAGGCTTTAGTAAATATCCTGTATTGTAATTAAATAAATTATTAGTTAATTAAAGTTTAAACAGTCTATTTAATTAAAAAGTCAAACTTATGAGTGCATGCAACTGCAGGGAATATTGAGAAGTTCTAGGGAAAGAAAATGATGCCTCATGTATAGCTAAAGTGTTTTCACCAAAAGGAGTTGTCATAAAACATAACTTGTATAGCAAACATCCCAATGCCTTTTAAGAAGTTTGTTTCATAAATAGTAGATGAAAAAATTTAACAAGGTAAACATTTAAGCAGGTTAAAAATAATTGAAATGCTATTGCCTACTACAAATTAAGATATATGAATAATAAATATAATACCCAAATATCAGCTTTGGTAGTAATAGGCAGGCCTGAATATAAATCAACCATTTCCGGACTTCTGTAAGCCAATGTTGTATATCTTTATAAAAAAAAATCAGATAATATATTGTGATTTAAATACTCTAATATTTTTAACAAATGATAAAGAAAGATTTTTTATGAATAAAAATTATAAATATTAACTTATAAAGGATTTTCTTACAAAAAAAAAGATTTGGAATATTAGGTAAAATTCTCAAAAAAAAATCAGAGTCAAAAATCTTTGAAGATATTTTATTTTAAAGAATATTATAAACTGTTATTTTATAGTGATAATTTCAATTTTAATTAGGAATATAATAAACAAAGTAAACTTTTTGATATCCTCTTCCAAAGCAGGGATGCTATGTGGTGTTAAGCTTTCAAAAGACTTTAATCTCTCAATAACTTTTTCATCCTTTTTTAAAGATAAATGAAAGTTTTATTTTTAAAATACATTTAATATTAAAATCAGAGATTTATTAATTTTTTGATGATAAATTTAATTAATAATTTTTCCTAAATTTAGAATATTGGCTAAATAACAAAAAATAAATTATATGAATATAGACCTGGGCACTAGTGATGTTAAACGGCCCAATATGGGTCGATTTTTACAAACGGCCAGATTAAGATATTAGCCAAAAATAATATCATGTAAGCCAGAAGAATTTGCTTATAAAAGTCAGATGGATCTCTATTTGCCAAATCTCGAGGATTACATAATATTAATTAGGATAGAATCTTAATCGGGCCGTTTTTAAATTGACCTAAATTGGGCGGTTTAACAACACTACTGGGAACCCCTATACAATCCGGTTCACAAAGACCAGCTCCATAAAAAAAGTAAGTTTTTGGTCGCTACAACCTATGCAATAATAGTCAGTGAGGAGGCATAAACATTTTTATATTTGCCTAAGATTATGAATAAAAATATTAAATATTTCTAAGAGTTTTTAAACTATTTAAAAATTTTCTTTATTAAATTATTTTCTATAAAAAAATTAATTTGTTCAAACAAATATTGTGTCAATAATTTTTTAATATTGCTCCTTTAAATAATAGAATTAAAATATTTGGATACTGCATTAAAAAAATACAGTATTGCATTACCAACAGAAACTTCTATCACATGGAAACGTGTTGGATCCTTAACAATAAGAATTGATACTACTAATTAAAGAAACAATGTTCTCACAGATAAACTCTTTTGTAATTTATGTGCAAAAAGAAATTGATAGATACTGATGTTAATTTAAAACAATAATTATCTATTTTTTGAGTAAGCTTGTGTTGATTATTTTAAAAATATTTATGATCCTTAGTATAAATAAATATGACGCAAACAACCAATGGATCCTTTTTTTAAAAAAAAAGACAAAAAGACATTGTTGCTAATTAGCAGGGTTGTGCTTAGTGTTGTTAAACGGCTCGATTTTAGCCGATTTTTAAAAACGGCTAACTCAAAATTATAGACAGGAAAATATTGCCTAATTGTCGAGATTTCGTCAATAGATGTTCAATACTATGTGCCATCTATGATGAACAAAATCTCTAGGCTTGCATAATATTTTTCTGGATAAATTATTGAGTTAGCCGTTTTTAAAAATCGGCTCAAATTGAGCCATTTAACAATACTAGTTGTGCTGATTCAGACTTTTTACACCAATCTGATCCAATATTTCGGATATCCTTACAAACCGAATATGATAATAATATAATTTGAATTGATTTTTTATTTTCCATTTATCTTTAAACAAATGTGTCATAAAAATCTAAATTTTCAATGCGAGTAATAATTAACTGTAAACTATGGGCAAAACAAAAAAGCAGAGTTGTTAAAGGATCAAAGCAGAGTTGTTAAAGGATCTAGATACATAAAAATGTGGTATCTGTATCTGTATCTAGATAGATTTTTGATTAAATAATCTGAATCTAGATATTATTTTAGACGTTGTATCTGTATCTAGATCCATTTAAAAAGTATCTTTTAACAACTCTGCAAAAAAGACATAGTTTCTCGTTGCTAAGGCAATATTTGGTTCATTATTATACTAGTAATTTTAAAAAAAATTTCCGGTCATTATCTATTCTTTTTTTTTATTTCCCAAAAGTTAATTATCACATTTAAAATATGGGTAATATTTTTGGCTGAGCTGCAAGAACTTAAAAATAATATCTTATTTTTAGCTTTTTTTTCTTTTAAAATAATCTGATCTTTATAATTACCAGAGTTGTTAAAAAATACTTTTTAAATGGATCTAGATACAGGTACAGATACATAGTCTAAAAATTTATCTAGATACAGATACAGCTTCTAAGAAGTTATCTAGATACAGATACAATTTAAAATGTATCTAGGTACAGATACATTTTTTATTATACTCTTTGATAAGGTATGAATAAACCTAAATTAGGATTCTATTGTGAAGATTCATAAAATGATCTAAAAAATTTATTGACTCGATATCACATATCAAAATATAACTAAAATAATGATTTTTAGATATTAATATAATATATGATTAATATAAATAATTATTTTATATCATTAATAAAATAATATAATATGATTAAATGATTATAAATAATTATTAGATTTCAGTAATAAAATATTTTCAAAATTTTGGTTAAAGACATCCTTGTTTATATATAAAAACATTTTTAGCTATACTAAAAAGTCTTTCAACAGGAGCGCTGGAAGGGATTGTGGTGTTATATTTAATGAATAACATTTTTATATCAGGATATTGTTTAAAAATACTAAAGCATTTATTTTTGAAAAAACTATTTAAAATTTGTTGATCATCAGAATTTAAATCATTAACAATCATATCTCCTGCTGTGGGATACTGAAAAAAATCAGATATTATATTATTGGTTTTTTTTCACAGGTTAATTTTGCACTCATTTGAAGACTTTGATAATTCCTCAACTAATCTTTGTATTAATTGTTTTTTTATTAAAATTTTCATCCATTTGCAACCATGTCTAATCTAGTTTAAAAAAAGGATGAAGCATATTTGCCAAAATATTTTCATCTTCAAAAATTGTCCCAATAAACCTAGAATTATTAAATACTGATTAATTTCTTATTAATTTACCTATCTTCAATTCCTTTAAGTAAGGCATTTAAGAGTGGTAAACAAAATTTCAGGTTCATTTGTTTAAAATTTTTTGAGCTGGGAAATATGTTTACCGGCAATAGGCACTCCAACAATCTGCTGTTGTGCATATTAACGATGGTTCTATTAGACTTTTAATGATTTCCTTCTTTTCATTCTCCCATCTTTGGGAAATTCTAGCAACCACGGTCTGTCTGCAAATTATATTTTTTTGTGGAGCTATTGTTTTGATCATTTTTATAAATGATGGATTTGCAACAATTGAAAATGGCTGAATGATGGTTCTATTAGACTTTTAATGATTTCCTTCTTTTCATACTCCCATCTTTGGGAAATTCTAGCAACCACGGTCTGTCTGCAAATTATATTTTTTTGTGGAGCTAATGTTTTGATCATTTTTATAAATGATGGATTTGCAACAATTGAAAATGGCTGAATGCTATCTATAATAAAATCAGATATTAAATCATCTAAAATGGTTTGGGTTAAAGTCTGAGGTCTCTTGAAAAAAAAATCAATGGACGATGAGCCTAGTCCAATATTTTCTTTAATAGATTTTTTCTCCTTCCCCTTTTTTATTTGGATTAAGAGTGTTTGATGTTTTCTCTTAAAATTTAAAATTAAAATTGTAAACATTTATTTAGTATCTATACCCTTAAATGTTTTACAATGTTGCAAGTTGAGGTAATGCTAACTGAAATTTTCATATTTTTTGGACATGGCAAACATTTTACTAACAGAGATTTGTTTTTTATTTGATATTATTTTAAAATATGGTCTATAAATTGGCCATGGAATGTGGTCATTTTTGTCATCAATATTAATCTTAAAAATTAATATAATAGAATAAAATAAAATACAATTCCATTGCAATTAAAAATGGCAAATTCCTTGAGATGGATTGTAATATCAGAATTTGCTTGTTATTGATAACTCGGACATAATATTTAATTACTATTTATATATTCTTTTTTATATATAAGTTTTAATATTTTACATATATATATAATTTTTTAATATATATATTAATATTAATTTATATGCTCATATGAAATAAAATAAATTTTACACTCAAGTATTTTTATTTATAATATAAAAAAGCGTTAAATACAAGTATATCAAAATGTATCTTATAAAGTATCTAAAAACATATACAGATACCTCTAAAATAATATCTAGATACAGATATTTTAATCAAAAATTTATCTATATACAGATACCACATTTTTATATCTAGATACTTGTATCTCGATACTTTAACAACTCTGATAATTACAGATAAATTAAATTATAATTACGTTTATTTATTTTTTTTATTATTGACAAATTATGCATAAATAAAAAATATTATATAATCATAAAATAACCAAAAACAAAGATAATATGGGATCAGTTCAGTCTTTTTGTACATATCGACCCAACCCAATCCATTTATAAAAAAGATAAATATAGCCAATCTGCTCCGATATTTAATATTGGCAGAGTCTTACTACTTATCAGGGGTTGGTGCACAGATATACATTTAAGTTAAATAAATATTTGATCAAAATGAACAGAATAAGCAGGAATGTATTGGGAAGGGGACTAAACGCCTCCACTAATTTATTTTTAATTTTTAATCACTTTTATAAATTTTGAGAAGCCCCCTTCCCCCGCCAAAAAATTACATTTTTTTAAATGTTACATTTGAATCTTTTTACCTTTTATTCTTGTCATAAAAATTAAAATGTTTATAGTCAAAATTAAAAATTTGATATATTTTTTATATAGCCACATAGAAAATAGAGAAGCAAAAGGTTTTATTCTTCAATATTTTTATAGAAATTTAATGCCACCTCAGCTTCTGCTTTCTTTAAAGTATAGAAGGTTTACCATCAACAGGTATTGGTGATAAATAGCTCCATTTTCGCAGGTTTGGAGCTAATTCTAAAAAGGCTAAACCTTATTTTTAACCGAAAAATATCATCTTAGCCTCGGTCTAAACTTATAGGATAGCTCAATTTTGAAAATTATATACCCTTGCCTCAAGGGTTAGCGATTTTTTCCGACGTTAGAATTGAACCGATTTAACACCACTAAATGCAAGAAATAGATCAAATTTAACAAAATCTCTTAAATGTTTAAATAGAAATTTGAAATTTTCTAATAAGTAGGATATTATTATTAAGATTACTCAATTTATTTTGTAAGAAATAATAAATTGGGATATTTTCGGTGTCCATTTGCCAATGATACATTGATTGACTATTATTTAAAAATATAAATCATTAGGAACATTTTGACAATAAGATATTATGTAGGCAGCGTCTACATGACAGAAAATTCACTGGAAGCAGATCCCCTCTAAAATCAATCCTAGCCCCCCCCCCCAAAAAAAAAATCTCACGCTCATCAGCCGCGATATTTACCAAATCATTATGCTATAACAAACTACCTGATACTATTTTAAAAAAATTGTACTGAGCCATTATTAATAACCTTCAAATAATTCTAATTAAACCCTTTCTGACCTCATGATTATTTAAGAATAACAAAACATTAGTTGGTGATATTAAGCTTTAGTTGGTCATAATTAACTAGTTGATGCTAACCGTATTCTAAATATTAGCCATGAGCGTGTACAAATACAACCTGTGCTAAAATGCTATCTGTGAATGAATGAGAAATAAATATCTATTAATAAATTAGTTATTTTTATTTTTTTCCCTATCCCCCTTCAAAAAAATTAAAGCAAATCGCTCCTACCCACTATTTTATGTAGACGCAGTATATAAGTAAATATTTACAGATATAACTCGCTTCAGAAATTACACTCTTATTTAAAAATATACCATTAAAAAATCCAAAACTTGTAAGATAAAAAATAGACCATTTTACAACTGCTCTAGAAAATACACCCAGTCCAGTTTAACGGATAGCTTTGAAAACACGGGTAAAATTAAAATCATTTTAATAAATTTGAATTATATTATTTTTTTTATTCTAAAAATTTTTCTGATATATTCTTATTCAAAAAGAAAATTGCCTTAAGAACCTAGATGTACAATTTGGCGAGAAGCAAATAAGGAATCTACCAGTGATTCATAAATGAATATGATGATTGTTGAGTTTCGACAATATATCGATAAAGATACTTCAAATGAAAAATTTAAAAAATTCCATAACTCTCGACAATATATCGATAAAGATACTTTCGACAATATATCGATGAAGATACTTCTAATGATAAATTTAAAAAATTCCATAACTCTGTGGATATTTTATCCTGCAGTACTGACAAGTAGTGATGCAAAATAGCTCCATTTGAGCCGATTTTTAGAGAAAAATAATATATAAGATTGAAGATTTTGGTGGTAAATATCACAAAGGTTTAAACTATCACTTTTAAAAATCGGTGCAAATGGAGCGATTTTGAATCATTGCTACCAAGGGTGAAAAGAGTTTTGATCTTATGATTTTGATCATGGTAGATAATCGAACAAGTTTAGGAGTAAATAATTTGTTAAATCTAATTCATAAATAATAATAGACCTTCGATATTAGAATGAATTCCAGATACATGTATCAACATATGGAAAATGAATCATAGCGGAAGAATGAAATCTTTTCAGAAAAAAATACAACCCAAAGAAATTAATAATCGTAGCCCCCCCCCCCTCCCACCAACTTTTAAAGCAATATACGACTGATATTAACTAGGGATGTAAAGTAAGGGGAAATCCCCTATAGTTTCCCCAATTTTATTTTATGTTTATTTGATCAAATAATCGGAATTTTTATCATATTTAAGAAAAATCCTCTTGACTTATATATCATGATCATGTTTTTTTTTGTATGTGTGTTCATTTTAGATAATATATAACTCAACTCTAGTAATGTTCATTGAAAGGAAATTTTTTGATTGGCTAAAATATATTAAATATTTTTAATAATAACTGAAATAAGGATAAGGAGTAGGATTAAAGGTTGAAGAGATATAGGATAAGGCCAACTTCATTTTCTAATTTTAATTCAACTAAATATAAATTTCTTAAAAATTAATTTAATGATATATTGTATGTTAAATGGGTCATTTTCCATAATGCAATGTGTATTTGGAAAAATTATTTCAATATTTAAAAACAACATTTAAAATGCTCACAAGATATTTATCCAGTAAAAATTTGTTAAAAGTGAATGAAAGGATTAAAAAATTGAGAAAAAGACCCTTATTAATGCTGGGTGGGCAAATATAAGAGTGGAATGTATTATAAATTTTATTATAGCTTAGGTCCAATTTTCTATAAATTAATTGAAACAGAGACCAATATGCATATAGGAGAATATATAAATATATCTAGTGAATTTATTAAATTGTAGAAATAGGAAACAAAAACATGGAAAATTTTTTGTTACTGAGACATATATTACCCTGCTCATATACTTGATCTGATATATTGCAGATTTAATTTTAAAGACAATCAAGTTATTGATAAAGGATCAGATGTTATAAACTGATTTTCAGGATGCCTAGATTTAGATGTTGCATGATAAATTGCTCAATTTTAGAGATCTGAAATAGTTTCAAATGGAGATAACAAATTAAACAATTAAAATTATATCCTACTTGTTTATTTAACATATTAAAAGTTTATATATTTTTGATAAAATATGAAAAAAAAATCAATATTGACCTATAAAATAATTTTTTAAAGGAAATTTCCTGTTTTTCTCGAGGTTTTCCCAATTTGGGAAAATTACATCTCTAATAATAACATTAACACAAAAAAAAGGCAAAAGTACTTTTGGGCTATTTTTATTAAGGCCATGATCATATTGATAAATGCAGCTCCCAAAATCACATAAAATATAATGTCCTGACTTAGAATGCCACAATATATTTTCAACTTTTAAATCACGGTGAATAATTGGAAAAGGGTAATTCTTATGAAGTCTTGTTACTGCACAACAAATATCATAAAATATAGATAGAACAAAAGTTTCTTCTAGACCCCCATCTTTTATTCGTTCATTCATTTGTCTTAAAAGGTTATCTTATATATAATTAATTTTAAAAAAATAATATAAATAAAAATAAAGCTATTTTTAGAGAAAGGTTTTTAAATATAACTAAGATTGTAAATAAATCTATATCAATAAAACGCTATTACCTTTACAATAGTCCATTACAATTAAAACTTCATAAATTGAGTCTTCATCAGTTGGATTTGATGAAAGATCTAATTTTTGATTATATTTACAATTAGATCCATTTAGTTCCTTGATGTTGAAATCCACCAATGATATTAAATTTTTATGGCCAGATATGGATTTAAGTATCTCAATTTCCCTTTTACAAACTTCCAAATCCTTAATATTATTAACAAGCATCCTTTTCAGGGCAAAATATTTGCTATTTTTCTCATTGACGTTGTCATTTTTTACCAAAAACACTATAGAAAATCCACCTAAAATAATATTGGTTTTTTAATTTCTAATTAATTCAATATTACCTTCTGCAATAATATTCTCTACAATTACAATTAGATTTTCAAAAGCAAAACTTCGCCCGATAAATGAATTATGGGTTGAATTATCAGCTTTATTTTCATTCTTTGTAAAAATTTTCCTCATGCCTATTTTAAATTAAGCCGTTGTTTCGAAAATAATTAATCATATGTTATTATTTTCGAATGTACTATTTTTTACTAAAATCAAACGATTGATCGCACTAAAAATCAGAAATGACAGGTCACATATAAATAATAATATGTCTATTTAAAATATAATAGGATTACAGTTACATCAACTGGATGCAGTGCTGCAGAATATTAATTCCTTGGCTCAATAATTATTAAATCCTGGGAGTGAAAAGTATAATTATCATATGCCTTAAATTTTCTAATGTTGACCAAAGGAATTTAATTTTTCTAGGAGAAAATAATGTATGGCCTTTTACTTACATAAATTACTTAAAATTATTACATACTATATAATGACAATATAAAATATTATTTATTGTTTTTTGTATGATAAATATTTTTAATAAGTTGTTTGTAAGACGTCTCTCAAGCTGGCACATTATTAGAAATTTTTAAAAAGTGAGTGCTATAAAATGCTAATAAATAAAAACTATCCAGAAAAATCTATTAAAAACGTACCAAAAATTATCTGAGAGAAATTTTTTCAGGAATCTTGAATAACGCATTCAACTGTAGCTATAGAGAGTGGATATGAAAATAATAATATTAAGCCTGACTAATAAAAATATCATTTTAAAAAATGAAATAAGAACGTATAGTTGCAGTACGAGCAATAATGGTAATTACTCCATATCGACAGGAATATTATCATAGTCGCCGACTTCATGGGGGCGGTGGGGTTATCGTTTCCATTGACAAGTTTCTATGCGGACTGTGTCTCAATAAAAAAATAGATGAATTGATAAAAAATATATTACTTATATATTCTTTAGATATCAAATAATGCAGAGGTCAACTTTATGAGCCTCATCTAGTTTTCAAACGCGTCTTCTTAGTGAAGAATCGAGAGCTATCTATATACATTGTGCAGGTCATACATTAATTTGTTGATTCATTTACTACTATTACAAAAATTCTCGGGTTCATTTATAGTATTTATGCAAAATTTATTATCTTTTATTGATTCTTACAAAAACATGAAGATATTTAGTTTGATCTAAGATGAAAATGATAGTTAATCTTCTTTAAGGTCGTTATGACCTACACGCTGATATATGCAAATAATATCACTAAAATAAATTAAGAAATAATCCTAAAACTTTCATTAGAAATTATAAATACATCTCGCAGTACCAATTAAACCTTTTTGAAAATCTTCTATTTATTAAAATGATGATAACATTGATTCAAAGTTATTCATTAGGTTTTTAAATATAAAATATAAAATAGAAATCCTGTTCAAAATCTTAGATGCAATCGACAAGATGATAGTTTCGATTGGATTATTGTTAATTTAAAAGCAGAGCAGTGGCGTCACTAGGGGTGGGCGCAGGGGCTCGAGCCCCCTGAAAAATTTGAATAGCCCCCTGAAACAAAAATTTTTTTTAATGGCTTTTTAATATCCCCTTGAACTAAAAATAAATTTTTTTGATTGCCCACTGATTGATTTCTTTTATAATTCCATTAAGTAATATATAGATATAATTTTATTATTTAGAAAATAATAATACTATTTAAATTTTTATTACATGAATATTATTTTAATTATTAGATTAGATTAATACATATAACTTATATTTTCACTATGTCAGCTTGCAATCAAATTCTGTATTAAAAATATAATATCAATAACTCACTAAATATTAATTTAGCTTTAACAGTTGAAGTTTAATTGACTTTTATTATTTAAATTATTATTTAACCCTAATTAAATAAATATAATCATATATTATTTGAAAATTAACAAATTTAATATTGTAATTAGCCGAGTTCAAAATAACTAATCAACTGTATATTTATTTTGAAATTTTATTATCATACTTTAAAAGTATTTTCAAGGTCCAAATAAGTATACGAGATTTCTTTATAAAAAGTAAGTAGACATATAGTTTATAATCCTCTACTATATACAGTTGTTTATAAAATATTAGATACAATGCCACTTTTATAGACGTATTTGACTGTTATATTTATATTGCAGTTAATATTATAATAAATTTTACTAATAAATGGTTTCGATAATAAATTTAACTAGTTTGATAACCTTTTGTCAATGTAAGTTGCTAAAAATTATATTATTGTATTATGTGATTTTTTATATGCCAGTTTATTTTGTATGCATAATATAATAAATGATAAAATATGAAAATCAGAATAATTGTTCAGAGTTAACAAATTTTAAAAAAGTATAATAATATAAAACCCGACTGAAGGCCAGTAAATTGGGAAGTATGGGAGGCGAAGCCCCCATAATTTTTTTAGTTAGCCCCCTGAGATTGTCAAGGCTAGCGACGCCCCTGAAGCAGAAGAGTTAAATTCACCTTTATTTGAAGAAGACTCTCGAATTTATTATACCATTATAGGGTAACTATGAATATTATAGACAAATTTATTGTGTAACTTTAGAATATACATTGCAAGTATAAAAAATCGTTTTAACAAACCAACAATGGATTATCTAATTAATATGGAATAATTTTTTATTCAAAAACATGTGGGAAATTATGTTTTTCTTATCTATTAAGATAATTTTTGAATGAATCTTAATTCATTTAGAGATTTAGACTGAACTTATGCGATTTTAGGATTGAGCTAGATTGTAGCCAAGCCTATAAACTAAAGTTACATTCAACTGTTCTTTAGTTAAAAGATTCTATCAGTTTTCAATAGTCAATAACCTCAACCCTTTGTGGCTTAGATACAAAAGTATTAAAATATTACTTAAAACTGTGATTTTGATTAATATTATGTTGAACAAAATATGTTATTGCATATTTAATATAACATAATATTCATATCATTCACAATAGGATGCAGAAAGAAAATTTTGGTAGGAAGAAACATTTTATAAGTAGCTTTGACCTCCAGACTACAATATATAAAACCCAGCCTATCGACCTATAAATTGGGAAATAATTAAACATTTTTGTCGGTTTAGATATGATAGGGAAATATATTCCTAAAATTTTTAATTTAATTAGTGATATCATGAAATCACCTATATATAAAATATTTAAATCATAATTATACAATATCTATCTTATTTCGCTGAAACCCTAATATAATATTAAAATTTTATATACAATATTTAAAATTTTTGACCTATTTTATTTCAGTGAACTATATATATATACTAATGTAATATATTAGAATTTTTTTGATTTCAATGCAACAAATATACTTTTAAAATTTTTCTCGATCAGTTCTCATACCTCCTCAGAAAATATTTCCTTTATTTTTCTTCTTGGCTTATTAAAAGTATCAAACAACGATTGAAATACACATTACTTCTAGATTAATTTTTTCACTTCTTACAATGACACAATCAGTTTAATAAAAAGTGTAAAATGCATTATTAATATAACCTGTTTTATATGAAAAAGATTTTTTCTTATTTATATGATTTGTTGTATAGAATAATTAAACATCTCCAGCTCTAAGATAATTCCCTCATTTATACTAGTCACAATGCTATAACAACCATTTGAACTCTCTAATAATTTTTAATATTAGCCTAAAGATGCATGCCATTAATACAATAGCACCAGTCGGAGCTGCCATTCGCATATGGGTAATTGAGCCATTGTTTAATAGTTATTTATCAACAATAATCTTTATAATATCTTCGCTTAATATTTTTTTATCACAATAATTTTTACAGCGATAATATCTTCGTTTAATTTACCTCAACCAGTTTATCAATTGATCTGTTATGATGATTCCTCCAGCACCAGAATTGCATCGCCTTCATTTTTCCGGAAAAGTTATACCTTGTCTTTATCTTTTCAAATATTATATCGCACAAAATATATATTCGTTTTTTTAGTTAGAATCTCTACCACTTTATCTTATTTTCGGGACATGTTACACCTATTTTACATGCCAAATATTTCTCCCACTTTTATTTTTGACGCATGGTTCCCATGTTATTTAAGGCTGTATCTCGCCAGCATTTCTTGTAATAATTTAATTTGAAGTATATTTAGACGCCGATAATCAAATCCATAATAATTTATAACCTCACGATTCAGATGATAGTGTCAGACCTATGGTTTCACAACTATCCCATGGGCTAGGGCTAAATTTTTATCTGTGATTATATCTGTTTTACCACTTTCCCCAAACATCACGCTCACTCAAACAGAAACAAAAAAGATAAAGAAATACAAAACATTTGTTAACTTTATTTTTATTCCAATTGCCACATCTACCAGTGAATATTTTGCCTTTAATACCTTTCTTTTTGAAAAAATATTGGCCCATAAAATACGATCCCCACATTATAGGCTAAAAAAAAAATTTTCTTAAGACAAAAAATATAAATTGATATTTAAATCAGAGAACTGCAGAGGTCATTGTACGGCCTGGCCCGATCTGAGTATTTTTTAAAAATAAAATGTCATCCGACCCGGGTATATTTTAAAAATTTAAAATACGGCCCGGCCAGGGGCTTAGGGCCGGGCCTGCTGGTCTTTGATTTAAATATAATTACTTTATAAACTCAATTATGTTTTTCATAATTGTATAATCCCACCTTATCTAATTTTAGTAGAATTTTATATTTTATATTAGTTTTTAAAAATAGTTTCCCATTACTACAATAATATGATAATTTCACTCTAATATCATTGCGCAGGACGAAAGAATATATAGACTTAAATCATGGAAATATTTTATTACTAAGTTCAGTCTAAAAGAAAAATTGGGGAATGAGGAATATGTGTTTTCTATCAAAAGTAATCGTACAGATCTGGTCTCTTACCTAACCTCTAAATTTATTCAGTCAACAATACAAGCCTGTACTTTTCTTGGCTCTTCGACGCTATAATTTGTTTTCGTTTGCATGTGATATTATATTAACCATTAAGGACACATTATTAGTTATAAACGCAGCTAAATTTCTATTTAACTACTCCATACATGTCCTTACTTACTAATAACCCA